AAAATGGCTAGATAAACGACGAAAAGCTCGTTGCGAGTAGGCCTGCATGGTGCCTTGACGTTATAGCATGAAAGGGTACAAAACCCTTGCATTGGGATTGCCTCACGGGTCTCCAAACACCACAAAATATCCAAGTGGCCTATCTTTATTTCACCAAAATTCGAAAAAATCGCATGTTTTTTTTCATTTTTGACCTCAAATCGTATCCTACGTGCATGAAAACTTGGCATATCAATGAACAAGTATTATGACACGATTGACAACTATTCATTGCCACTTTAGACAGCTAGAAGTGTGTGAACCCCAGGTGGCCTATCTTTAGTGCGCGTACTGTACGTCAACTGTCTGCTTGGCGAGAACGTCGACGACCTCTTGCCGCTGCTGGCCGCGTACGAAGGCAATCAGACCAGTAGCAACAACGATACGAGTCTTTCGACGTTTCCAGCGCCGTGCGGACCCGCGCGTCGAGTGCACTGGGGCAGCGAAGGCTACTCTGGCTCAAACGAGTGGTGCTGGGCGGCGAAGCGGCGGCTTCCGCTCTTTGAAGCCAACGGGAACCTCGCGCACTGTGTCTCCGGACCTCTCGGCGCTGTGCTGGCGTGGCGGCGCATGCAAGAAGCTGACTGTGTCAAGAACGATCTTTGGTCGGCGTGGGCCTCGTTCCTAGCGTCGCCTGTGCAGCGCGACTGCTTGTCACAGCAACAGCGCGTCCGTATACGAGGTGGCGTCTTGCGGCGGTGCCGAGGTCCGCTCATGTCTCGCTTCTGCGGACGTCAACGTATGCTGCGCTCAACGACACCCTTCGCGACAGTAGCCTCTTTCGATTCATCGACGCTTGGTGTTGCTGCTGCTGCTGTGTAGTGATTCCAGGCTGGCTTTTGAGCTGCTCTATCCTCTCGTCGCCGTCTGCGCCTACTGCAGTCGAAAGAAGCAGCGCGAGCAAGAAGAGACACAATTCAACAATGAAGCCATGCGACCGTGTGCTCGCGCAGAGCCGACGACGAGCGCTCGTACTGCCACTACCAAGGGCTCTACTCGACCTTGAACGCCAACGGTCTGGAAGCGAGGTGGTTCAGCACCCTGCTGCACGAGACGATCGCGAGTTTGCTATCTTTTGTCATGCTTGGAGTCGGCTCAATCACATTCCAACGCCACCACCGGCGTTGACAACGAGCTTCTCCAGCCGCCACCACCGGTCGGTGCGCTGGAGCGATTGCTGAGAGCTGCGTTTCCTTGTCGAGCTACCTTGATTGTCGACCACTTATCGGAGCGACAACGATGGGATTCATCATTGCACTTGCCAAAGCGGTTGCGACGACCTCACATTGAACTTGCGTTCACGCAACATATGTC